CGCACGCACGCACGCTCGCGCGCGCGCACACACACACACACGCACACACACAACACAAACACCGCAATCCGTCGTCCGCCCGATCCCTCGCCTATACGCCAAACGTGGCACATCTTGGTTCGGTTTCTTTAGCGCCGGAGATGAGGGAAGGAGTGTCGAGTGCTTGGGCGGCCGTGGCCGTGGCTTTTTGTCGACCGGTTATTATCTCCGACTCGCGGTGCTTTTTATTCTCCTCCCGACTTTATACATCCGACGACGATTATGAATAAGCCCTCATTACGCTAATTGTCCGAGCCTTCTTTTTGCGCCCAACTCCCGCCCCCGGACGCGCTCCTACCATTTTCTCCTTCGTCATTTTCATTCTCCCGTAATCGTAATCGAGCTTCGAGTGTTTCGCGAATCTCGCGAGCCGTGACCATTTGCCATTCCGCGCGACGACTAAAACTTGCACTTCTCAAACGCCTCGATCGAATTTTAATTAATCGCCCAACCAACACTTGGCTGCTCTCGCTTATGCTCCCTTTCCCGTACTTTTTCCGCGCTTTATCGGACTTTCAAAATCCTCGATAACAAATCAACAACCAACGCACCAACAGCTCTCAGCAACCACCATATCAATATCGTCTTCGATTAAATCGAATGTTTATGCGCTCCCAGTGCCCAGGCATCCATGCACCGACGAATAAAAGTCCCGTAAAACGAGGCGAGACGAGGATCAAATTAAGTTTTTATTGGCCCGACACTTTGCATTGGACTATTTGGTCAAGCTTATCGCGCCGCAGCTTATCGCCGAGAAAGCTGACCGAAGCCAAGTGCCGGAGACCAATGCCGAATAACCTCAGCAAAATTCTTACAAAATTCTCATCGTTCGTCCGCTTAACCTCGGCCAAGCCTAATTCGTAACGTTTGCTCGCCTCTACGATGCTGTACGCTCGCTGACCTCAACCCCCACCCCGCCCAATCACTCGCCACGACTGCGCTGCCAAGAGGAGCCTGGCGATCCCGAAAAGCCATTAGAAATCGAGACTCGCGAGGACAATGTTCTGCCGTTTGGCCATCCTTGATTGACCTTGGACGATTCGGTCGACGCCTGCTCATGCGTAATCGATAAGAGCGAGTATTCGCTATGGAAATGCATAGGCTAACGTCTTTCGAGATTTTTATCATAACGATAAGCTAAATAAATATCGATCACGCTACGTTCTGGATTTCCATTACCTTTCTACACTCCGCTTTTCATGCCAACATTGCATTACCCGAACGCTCCGGAAAATGATAATTTACTTGGTAATTAGCACCATAGAATTAATGATAATAAGTTTATATTTTATGGGGGGCTTACATCACGACCATTCGACCACCTACCTTATGCACATTAAAATCTCTACTAATTTCATACAATTGACGTTAACAAAGCAATTGCCTCGACTTTACACGCGACAGACACACGCAAGCACGCACGCACGCACGCACGCACGTACGCTCGTGTGGCATAGATGCAATAATCTTGCACACTATTTATAAAGCAAAGATTATTTGGTAAGAAAATACTACTACTACTACCACTACTACTCCTACCACTACTACTACTACTACTACTACTACTACTACCACTAATACTACTACTACTATTACCACCCGTAATAATAATAATAATAATAATTATTATTATTATTATGACGCATCAATACCGTGAGATTAGATTATATTTGTTATTGAAAGAATAGCTCATCGAATAAGATTATACAGAATTTTCAATCTATATGCTAATGGGAGATAAGATTAACCGTCATATAAATGAAAGAATTGAAGATGTAAGTCAGTAAGTACTGTTTCAAACGAAGAACTCTTAACATACATTACCAAGTGATAGATACCTTGTTGCCACCTTAACGAAAATGACGTTCTGGAAAGTTGAGTTTCTTTATTTTATTGCAACGTATTGTATGGTGGATACGGCATATAGTCCAACCTGGAGTAGTTTGGACTCCCGACCACTTCCACAGTGGTATGACGATGCCAAATTTGGTATCTTTATCCATTGGGGCGTATTTAGTGTTCCAAGCTTCGGCTCGGAATGGTTTTGGAAATATTTACAAGGTATTCTTAGGCTCAAGTATTTTATTCATCATTCCTGTAATAATAATAAAGCTTGTGCGCCAATATTCTAAGTGCACAACTTGCTCCTGCTTAATATAATTTATCAATCCATATGTCTCTCTTGCTCGCTATCTTTAGCTCATTAACCTATCAATCTTACAATTTTTTGCTATGCTTAACATGTTTAAATGAAGAGAAAACAAAAAAGAAAGAATAAAAAAAGATGAAGAGAAAAGATAAGATTTATATTTAATGCGACATCCGTAAACATAACTGATGAATAAAGTACTATTTGAAAATCTATTTGATATAAGCTTACGTAAATTCTTTAGAGCGTCATAAAGTTTGGATTTAAAAAGTTTTTTTTCTTCTCCTCAAATTCAATCTATCCATGTCCCTCTATTTTCAAAGCATATACAATTTATCTTTCCCAACGACTCTAATCGCTTTTCGATATCAATGAAAAGCTCTGGCATAGCGCTGAATTCTCAAGACGTCGCATCTCTCAGTCATCTGCCATTAATTTTATTAATATCCATTAATATTCATTAATATTCATTAAATGTCATTCGATGTGTACAATTACATTGCTATATTGATAATGATGGGTCAGAGGATATCGATCTTTCTTATAATTAATCTGCCATGTCTTTTAGATAAAATAATAGTATTGATGAATAGTATGAGAGAAAGAAAGAGAAAGAAAGCACGAAGCCAATAAGCCGCTCAATATGAATTTCGATAATGTCTATTTTTTCATTTTCTCTTTCTTCGTTTGTTGTTGTTGTTGTTGTTGTTGTTGTTGTTGTTGTTTATTTTGCTTCTGTTGCTAATCTTTAGACAAAAATCCCGAATTTGTAAGCTTTATGAGGAGAGGATATAAACCCGAATTTACATATCAAGAATTTGCGAAAGATTTCACGGCCGAGTTCTACAATGCTTCCGAATGGGTCGATTTGTTCGAAGCTTCGGGTGCGAGGTACGTGGTCCTGACGAGTAAGCATCACGAAGGATACACACTTTGGCCGTCCAAGTACTCGTTCGGATGGAACGCAAAGGACATCGGACCGCACAGGGACTTAATTGGTATTGACACCGTTTACACGTATCTCTTACACTCGTCAAATAACCAAATAAAAATGTAAAACATAAAACATATAACGACTACATGATTATTATTATTGTTATTATTATTGTTGTTATTATTATAATGGGCCCATTCGCAGGTGAATTACATACTGCGATACAAAATAGTACAAGCTTAAGGTTTGGTTTGTATTATTCGCTATTCGAATGGTTTAATCCATTGTGGAAATACGACAAAGAGAATTTATTCGCCACTAATTTATTTGTTACAAACAAGGTTAATCCGGAACTGCATGAAATTGTCGAAACGTACAAGCCAGCAATTTTGTGGTCCGATGGTGATGCGGAGGCACCCGACACATATTGGCAATCAAAAGAATTTTTAGTTTGGCTGTATAACGAGAGTCCGGTTAAAGAAAGCGTCGTGACGAATGATCGATGGGGCATTGGGACGGCATGCAAACACGGCGGTTACTACACCTGCACCGATCGTTACAATCCTGGTAATTCCACCAATACATAAACCGCTTTATAAGATACGATGTGGCCCAGAGGTTAATTCGCTTTCGAGGATTTTCCAAGATTTCATAGGCTTGTTTGTTGAAAAAAAATATAGTCCATGTCGCGAGAGATACATATAAACTCATAATACACGAAATGCATATTATATATATATATATATATATATATATATATATATATATACATACGAACTTTGCCATTAGATACTTTGCAAGAGCATAAGTGGGAAAATTGCATGACCATCGATCGTAAATCTTGGGGTTATCGGCGTAATGCCGATTTAAAAGATTACTTGAGCCTGGACGAACTTATTAAGGAACTTGTCATTAGCGTGAGTCGCGGAGGCAATTTATTGATGAATGTGGGCCCTTCGAAGGACGGGACTATCGCTCCAATATTCGAAGAAAGATTACGGGGAATAGGTAGAGTATGACTTTCTATGAAAATCTCAATATCGTAAAACTCTTTACCAAAGACAGAGACTTTTTAATTTTTCTAAGGACAATGGCTCAAGGCCAACGGCGAAGCCATTTACAAAAGTAAGCCTTGGAAAGTGCAAAATGATACATTAAGCGAAGGCGTATGGTACACTGTGGGTGAAAATGATAATAATCTCTATGCCATCGTATTGTCCTGGCCGAGCGATGATATTCTAAAATTAAAATCGGTCAAGTTGCACCAGCTGAGTAGAGTGGAGATGCTCGACAGCAACGAGGAAATAAGCGTAAGCAATCATTACTCGTTAGCGAATGCATACGTCCACGTACATTGTTTTTTCCTTTTTCTTTTTTCATTTTTCTTTTTTCTTTTTTCTTTTTTCTATTTTCTTTTTTCCTTTTGCTTTTTTCTTTTTTCTTTTTTCTTTTTTCTTTTTCAATACTAACCACTAGAAATGCTTTCCATACAGTGGATCCAATTACTTAGACATCTTAGAATTAAATTGCCCGTAGCAGCACACGTAGGAAGGACAGCTTGGGTACTGAAAATGGACAAGTACGATTTAAATTTATAAGTCATCGGAGAGATAAGGATGATAGAGACAATGGATAATGAAGAATTTAATAAACATGTAATAATTGTCAGACGTTCGTTTATTACTATCATCTCCACTTAAAAACGTTGTTTAAGCCACGAGCGGCATGGGACAAAATATTGTCGTGGCGAAGTCGAATTAAATTATCGATTCGCGTTCATGTAATTGGCCATTAGCCACTTAACTGCGCTTATCCAACACATTGTACGTTGACGTAAATTCGTAAATAGCGCATCGAGACGATTGTTGCCGAAAATCAGGCCCTTGATCATGCCGCACTTATCTCCGTGAGAACGATCAACCGTACGTTCTCCTTCTCTCTATCTCGCTTTCCACCTTTCTTTCCCCTCTGCTACTTTATCTCACCTCGTCCCACTCCCCACACCACAACCATCACCGCGCAGCCGTCGCTCGTCTTGTTCACCCCATTTAGGCCTAGATACCCTCGATCTCCCTTGCTCGCTCTTCAACCGCATGCCTGCCGCTCTCTTTCTCACATCCTCGTTTTTCTGCTTTCCATACAGGACTCCAACATCCAACAATATGCCCCAACCTTTACTTTTCTATTCTATCTATCTCATAGCTATTTCTCCCTTTCTACCGTTGTCCCTCTCTCACTCTCGCCTCGCGAGCCTCCGTCTTCTCCGCTCTCATATCCCGTCCCTTCCTATCTCTTTCGCTCCTCCCTTTCGAATATCCTTCTCAATTACCGATCGTCGTCAGGACGTGACTCGTCCGTGTAGTGACCTAGCCAGGAGATCGTTTCGCAAATCCTTCGATCCGCTCATTGCAGGGTCAGGCTTTATCGGGGACACCTACACGCGACTGCATCGATACACACGTGTGCGCCTCGGTTAGAGGCGCATTGAGCCAACTGCCGCCCGAGGAAAACGAAGTTCCGTTTGTCGATCCAATCTCGCTATCCTCCTAACCCTCCTCCTCCCGAACCCTCGCCGCTATTTCTTCTTAGCAAAATCGTTAATTGAAACGAGATGATCGCGGCGATAAGGACGTTTGTTTAATACGATTGCTCATGGTGGTTCCTTCTATCCTCCCCCCTCAACCATCTCATCCCCCCATATCCCAATACCCCCATCACCACCCACCGAGTTCAATGCAAGTGCGAGCGAGCGCGTACATAGTCAGGGATTACATTTGATTATTTTGGAATTAGTTATGTTATTGAATTCGTGATAGCTGACCATTGCATTTCATGAACAGATTTTCCGATAATTCGAATACACTTCGACGCAATTATAATCGCAGTAAATTGTTTTTATCTTTAATTTCGCCTGTCTTACATTATTCAAATACCGCTTAACGTTAATTAATTTTTTCTTCTTTTCGTTTCTTCCGCTCCATAAATTATTGTACGCTGGGCGCTGAGTGCGAAATAGAAAGTTATCGATGATAAAACAAGAATTCTGCATCACAATCTTTGACTGCAAAATTAATAATAACCTCGTCCTTTTAACATTCGAAACTTCACGCTCATACCATCCCACATCTATTGCTCATTGCGCTGGATTTCCAGTCAATTTTATCATACGATGCTCGATACTCCACTTACTGCTAATAATATTTTAAACGTCACATTCGTAAAGAACAGCTTACCTTTATTATTTCAAGCATATCTCTTGATATTCCTCGGAAATTCGTCGCAACCAAAAGCTTCACTTCCCAAGGATTTGCCAAAGTTTGCTGGCATTTTAATAAAATACACAACTACACAGACGATAACCATTACACTTCTTCAGTATCACTCCTTAAAGCTTTACGATTTGGCATTTACTCAAAATTCGCATAAATCGGAATATAATTTTCATTGTGCACGTTAATAAGGAGGAATGTGATGACTCGTTGATTGATTCACACTAACGAGATACTCCGACTCGCTCTCTCGCAAACGACATCCGCATTAAACGATAAAGTGGGATAATATCGTTGAAATACGTCGAAATATGTATATGGACCGAGGAGCCGGATCACCGACCACATGGTTTCACATTTCCAAGCCGGTGAAGGAGCAATACATTGCCGATCCTGAAAGTCACAATAATGCGGCACTCCATATAGATTACATCGAGCAAACAATATCGACACGATATTGGCAGCCAATGAGCAAAGCCCAGATAAATAGACCAGGAGGTTCATCCCGAGGACGAATGCCACAAAGGTAGCAGTACCATACGATTCAAGGAGCGAGGATATTGGAAACAAATGTTAATCGGCTCTCGACAACAGGGACGCATTCAAAATCTTCCAAGCCTACTGATGTGCCGACAACGATCGACAAACCTGCGCAACATCATTCTCCTTTCACCCGAGCTCCTACCACAAACATCTAAACCAAAATCTCTTGGATATTTCGTATCGTCTAGCCAACAACCGCCTCCTTCGACTCCTTCCCAATAATTTGGCATTCGGGGCACAGTTGGCACCCCAACACTGGTACGAGCAACATTGACTAAGCTGAAGATCGACCTTTCTGACGATCAAAATTAGTTTAGATGGATGAGAGATATTGGTCGAATACTTGTACTGGAGTTGGGTGGTGGGGGTGGGGACAACGAGAAGATCACCAATTGGACCAGAGTGTAAGATTGGTACTGTCAGCTACATCCTCGATTGGAATTGACTAAGTTGAGAATGGAGATCGTTGGAGCCGCTCCGAGCAAATACTCCGGAGAAGATCGTACGAGGCAATTTGCGACGACATTGCCGACAAGCGACTTAATTCATTGGCATCTCTTGGCTCCATTGGATCCGTGGGTGCTGAACGGTCGGCGCGAGCCACGATAAACTTAGTCGCTTATTATCTTAGCGCTGCCTCGAGGCTTAATGATCAAGGTCATTAGGTCAGAGGTACTGAAAGGTCGATTTGCATTGGCTACGCCCCGATAGCGGGAAAGCGGATGGTGGAACATTACCATTGATCGTTTGGTTTTCGATTATTAAGTTCCGTGTATATAAATACACGTCCTTCGATCTTTCCGTCCCGCTGCTCGCCAATCCAATTCCCTCGAGATAGAATAATATGGTCAGGCGTCGGGACGTTGGACCGTTGGAAGTAAGGCCAGATGAAATTTGGAAGTGCGTGGTATTTCTTATTATTGGCATACCTGGTGCCCAATGTCTGAACAGACGTGGTAGATTCGTAGATTGGTAAGCGGCAGAACTTTCTGCGGAACTCCTGATGGAAAGATATTACCCGTGGATTAAGGAATTTTTCGGAAGGAGTCGATGCTGGAGGAGGAAGCTGGATGGTCCGGGCATACGTGGAATAAGTTTTGTAAGAGCGGGATAGACGAATTTGTGTGTCAATGTTCGTTATTATTGATATTTAATTGTTTAAATGTTGCATAGACGATAACGAGCAATTATGAATAAGGAAGGACAATCCTTCGCAAGATTGAAAGTTTCGATTAGATTGGTGACAAAATCATCAAAATTCTTGATTGATTATTATGGTTACCAAGTCGATCCGTTATCAGTCGATTCGCATAATAATGGCGCAACGTCAAAATATGCAGTCTCGGTATAGTTGGGACAAAAAAATGTCGGAAAAAGTCAAGTCCCGCTAATACGTCATAATCCTGTGCTTGAATTGAAAATTAAAATGAAAAAGGTCTCGAGGCAGCAAAAAGTATTAATCGATTAAGAGTGCTTGAGCCTAGTGATACGAAAAGCAAAGGAAGTAATTTACTACCATTACTCTATAAATAAGCAGCTGTCGTTAATATTGCACGTTTCACCACTCACTCCATACAATGATTGTGAAATTTCAAACGATACGTCATAAATTACTATTAATACAAAATCACAATTACGTTGCGCGCGCGGTGATTAAGCTATTCTCTCTCTCTCTCTCTCTCTCTCTCTCTCTCTCTCTCTTCCCCTTCCAATTCATTTACGTTTGCAACAGCGTTATGTGCTAAATAGAAAAAATTGAGCTTCGTTCGCCATATCGTCGGCTGAGGACAATAATAAATACCTTTTATTAAATATGACTCCGAGTGAATAACGCACGTGGTTTGCTCGCGTACGTGCGCGCGCACGCGTACATTTGCATAAGCGAATTCTTCAATCCAGCGCACAATTAGCGTGATTACGATCGGTACCGCCTGTTTTTCATCAGCGTGTTACAAGGTGCAAATATTATGCGAAAAATTATTCGAGCCGGCTGAGGCTTTAATTTATAAAAGTTCTTTCATAAGAGTTAAAGCAAAAATTTTAAACTTAATTAAAAAACGATCGATATATCTTGATTCTCACGCGACCGTTTGGGACTCGTTTAATCGTCACCTCGTTATCATCGCGTGTGCTTTACTTTACTTATTCAAGGCCATCATCATTTTATCACTGTGTCCTTGTAGTGAAAATGATGGATAAATTAATTGATATTGCCATTATATTACATTAGACGGCAAAATGGAAAATGATTTGTTGTGGATGTGTGCGTTGACGTTGCATTCCAAAAATAGCTCGTACCTATTGATAATGTCGTTGAATATGCCGTAAGAAAATGTAATTATTTATCGATGGTAATCAATCGAATGCGAGATTCTCCATACTCTCAAGATACTTTATTTGACGAGATGGTAAAGGAAAACTACGCATACCATACCGACTTCTTTCCCATGCAATGCCGACGTGACTTTTGCTTTCCACTCACCGGCATACGTAATTTCATAATAGCTTAACGAGTTATCGTGAATGCAAGGTGCGAGCTAATTACTGCATACATTAAGGGAACAAAAAAAAAGAAAAAAGAAAAAAAAAAAAATTGCGCCAGTCACATACGAATGCAACGCTTAAGGCTTGGACTGACTGATTCAATTGAATATCCACGCACAATGATAGCGTGGAAATGGATTTTCGGACAATTTTCCAGCCTCCGATTCCAACGTACACACCCAGGAGTGTCTACGGGCCCGTTTGGAGCCTATATGATCCTCTCTTTGTTTGCCCTTTGGATTGTCGCGCGAATGCGAAGACGGGCCGATTAGCACGAGACCATTGCGAATGAAGCAAGGCACCTCTTCA